CCTCCACCCAAACCACCCAAGACAAATGCAAAACACGTTACACTACCTCCAAACTGTCTTCTCCAGAATCGACATATCAGCCGGGAAACGGACTACGCCAAGGCCAGGATAATCGATGGTATTCGAGCGGCGCGAGTTGTCACTGGACAGAACCGATGGCCCATTTGGCGGGAGGAAGCTCGTTGGGTGGCCAGATGGGCTGGCGGCAAAGAGCAGGGCTTCTTTTTTAACTTACTTACAGGCTTTCTTGCGACACACACCGACTGGCTGCAGGCGTTAAGTCCCCCATCCTATCGGCGTCGCTATTGTATACAGCAGAAAGGGCGCATGGACGTAGATGCGTCGGTTCCCAATCGGACTGTTATTGTGGCCCAAGATAAAAGCGTTGCGCGAAGATTACTCTTCTTATTGGCTGCATTTTTGCCGGCATCCCAACAGCTCCCCGGTGTCCGTCCACATCGGCCAAGTACCGCTGCTTCATTCGGGACATTTTCGCAGTCTCCCCCGTCGCTTGTTGTGCCTATCCTTAAGGAGGAGTCGCTACGGAGGAGGATCAACCGCCGTACGGGTCCCGGGCGAGCATGTCACTCGCGGAATTTTAGCTTGCAATCGCAAGGCGCACGTGCTGCCGCAGTTCCGACTAACTTGGCGCACTTGAGTATGGAATCGAGGCACGAGAGGCGAGCTTCCGACGCTAGTTCGATACGGACGACCCATCTTCCCATCCGAGGCAACGATCTGACCATGCAGAAAAGTAGTGCTGCTACAACTGGAGCGATCACCCCTGAAATGAGCATCGCTCATTTTGCCATGGTCCATCGCGCCGACTCTTTTGCTAGTACTCGACCGGGCAGCAGTAACAGCCTTGCTGCCGACGACCTCAAGCGTATCTCACGGTCTGGGAGTGGAGGTTCGCAGAGCTTTATGACCAGTGAGCAACGACAGACTTCGAGGTGGGGGAGTGTGATCAGCGGCTTATGGAGCACGCGAAGAAGAGACTCCATCGTCTCAGCAAAGCCTCGCAGTGGCAGCATTGGGCAAAGTGAAGCTACAACCTCTCCGATGAGGAAGGACACGGATAGAGCCCCCATGTCACCCCAAACACCTGGAAGGAGCTTTATGCGGCAGCCTGGGGACGTCCCAACACGTGCCGCCCTGGATCAAAGGGGAAATCCAAAGTCACCCGTTGCGGTGCCTGGAGAGAACCGAAGCTTCTCAGGCCAAACCACTCCCGGACAGAAGCCACAAAGGATTCCCGATCCTTCAGGTGCCTTTGAGTCTCCGGTCAAGACGTCCATTAACGATGACGGAGTCATTGACGTCGATATCCCTTTCCCTGACTATCTTGCCTCTTTCGAAACTGCAGTGAGTTCACCATCGAGCAGTGGATACCTATCCAACGCTGGGTTTGGTACAGCATTCGATACATTTGAGCAGTCGTCGCGCGTATCTGTCGATGCGGATGGGCCATTGAATGCTGCTGGTTGGCTGCAAAGTTACCATCCAGATTTCGTACTCCAGGCGATGCCGGCGCAAGAAGGCCTCAAGGAGCAGATTAAGGCCTCGATGGAAGCCGAACCACCTACTACGTGGGTCCCCAATTCGTCTGAAAGTGCCACGGAGAAGTGGGTGGATGTCAGCACAGCCATCATCGCCGATAGTACTACGTTCACGATTACGCGAATACGATATCGTCGTCTCGTCAGGGCCAGTTTTGGTAGTGGCCCGAACACGCCTGCCACTATGACGCCGGTAGCTGCCTCCCCAGCACCCACACTTCCGTCGCCTTCCCCTTTCGATCCATACATCAAGGATGAATTTATCGAAGAAACATTACTCAGCTCAGATGATACCTTGGTAGAAGCTGTGGAGAAGGTCATTGCCACCGCCGGCGATATCAGCAAAGGAAGCTCCAACTGCTCTTCGCGCTCAACCAGCAAGCTGCGAGAGAGGAGTGACAGCACGTCGTCCCAGCAGCACCCAGAAGACACCTACCATCGCCCTAGGGAGCTTGTTGTTCCCCAGGAGGTTCCTAGATCACAATGCAAGACAGTGATCTTGTCAGCTCTAGAAGAAATCATTCGTGAAGTCATAGAAGACTTGGACCCAAGCTTAGGACAAAGGACGGCTGGCGACAAGGAAGCTAGCTCGGGAATAGGTCGAAGGCGAGAGAAGGAGAACATGGAGGCCCAAAGAATTCCAGGAAGCATACTGCGAGAGGCAGTCAGGAATTGGCGTGAGAGTGTTGATATGGGGAGCGAGTGACGCGAAATTTTGTTGATACCCTTTTGTTTTTCATTTCTTTGTCATCTTTTGTTGCTGGTTTCCCCGTCATGCTGGCATTCGCATATTTAACACGACTTCATTAAGCCACGACAGCATCTATTTTCACCAATTTTATCACACCGCAATAGGGTCCATTTGACACCCATACTAAATAGCGACCACTATTGGTTGCCATACCCGCCTACGCGCGAGTCTGTGCAAGTGGCACCTCCGAGCATCGATCAATGTATTACTAGTGACGTTCACACATCATTCAATGTCCAAGCTAGTACTGTCATGTGAAGAGAGTTTGGGCAAGTAGGAAGTATGGAAGGAAGCATGGGAGGAAGTGGGATAACGGCGTTGAGAGTTCAAGAAATCTTGTAGCATGTAGCCTGGGCAAGAGTTTGATTTGATGATACACCACGATATAATATATCTTCCTGTTTGTTTCAACTGTTAGCATTTGATACCGACAGCTGATTCCATCCCGCGCATTGCTTGAAGGCAGCTAGCTAGCTAGTCTAATTCATATGTACCACACCATAACGTGCACTACTGCGGCATCACAACGAAAAACACTATGTGCACTCACCCAAACGGCATAGTACACAACCTACATGCGCCCTCTTCTCCTGAGACACCCGCCGACAACTTGCTACCGACGCAAGATGTTTTCTCCAATCAAGGCGTTTAAAGTTCAATGATGTTGGAAAGTTAAAGACAAAGGCACTTTCTCTGGTAGATGATGTTAAAGGTTGCTTCTAGCTAGGTAGGTACCTACGTGGGTAACTGTATTCGCAGCGCCCTTTCTTCCAACCCGATCGTCACTTCAACTTGCGGTGTCAGTGTGCGTTGAACTGAACTAGACTGGACTTCTCAAGTCCAAGTTAACCGAATGAACCCCTGGAGATCAATGAGCACTTCAAAATTACCAGAGAGCAGCTTCGGTTACGAGAGTAAGCGCTCACAAGTACTTTATCTGTTTCGTTCCCACCAATCAGTAGAGCTACTTTGAATGTCCATTGATCTGGAGAGGCCCATTAGCCTGCAGTGTGTGAATTTAGGAAGTTTTGTTTTGTTCACGCAGTTGTGTGGCAGATGCCATCAAGTTTATGGCACTGCCGCCAACTGAACTTGAATGAACTTCATACACTGAAGTTCATCGATCGATCGATCCTGACAGTTGGTGGGCCGGGTCACTTGCTGGCTACTCATACCTTTACCGTCGGATGCTCCTTCACAACTAGGAGTTATGCAGTGAGTGAGCGTAGCTGAGGTGTTCAGTCTACAGTAAGTGAGTTGAGTAGGCGGGTAGAGGTAGGTAGTACTGTAGTGCAGTGTTCTTTCCTTCGATACGGTTCATCGCTTCTCTCTTCACGGCCCACCTCGCTTCAGTTCTACGTACTACACTGTGACCGCCGGCTCCTTCCTGTCCTGTCCCTTCAAGTTGTAAGTTCTCCGAGTGCATCGAGAATTCCTCTTCCTCTCCCTCTCTCCCCCACCGCTCACTGCACACTCACCAATCACGCACACTACGGCATGCCAACCAGTTCAGTCCAGTACCGCAGCCTTCATGGGGAGAAGACCTTACTTACCTCTACCTAGAGGTACCTAGAGGTAGGCAGGTTTGATTTTTGTTTCTCAGAAACCGTTGTAAACCATGAATGGTGGAGCAACCGTTCTTGCCCTGCAACGGTTGTGCCTTCCTAACCACTTACAATCGATCGCCCAACAACCGTGCCTACCTCTACTCAACTTGAACTTCTCACAAGGTAGGTACGGTACGTACCCGGGCTATGCAGACTGTGACTGCCGGCTAGGTACTTTACAATGCAGTGTTCGTTCCTAAAGTTCTTTCCTTCAAAGCCTCCTCGCTTTTCTCTCTTTTCGGCCGCCGCTCTTGCTAGAACACCGCCGGCTCTAGGCTAGGTAGGTACCTTACTCACTTGTACACTCGTCCCCAACAGTAGAGCTAAGTACCTCTAAAGAGGTATTTGTTAGTGACCCTCTTTCTTAACTATGGTAAAATCATACGCTCTACTACCCCTTCTAACAGACTTCCTGGATCTGTACTTCTAGTCCCCGGGCGACTCTTCTTTTGAGTTCACTGCCATCGTCCGGTACAGCGAGTATCAAGCAGACCGGAACCACAAGCACTCACTCGCTCCGTTCAAACCAAATTTTCCCACTTTGATCCACTGCAGCTCTTCAGCTTCCGTCCATCATTCTCTCCATCGGTCTCCGCGCCTGCTTCAATTTTCCGGCTTTCCTCGTCACAGTGAGTAGTGTAGGTACCTAGGTACTGAAGTACAACAGAGCGTACACACCCATTACAGTACCGTGACCTCAAAAAGTCATGATACCGTAGATGCTGAGTATATCGTTGCCGAATCGACTTCCAGTGCCGCATGCCGTGAATCATGAAACGCTCACTTTGATTCAGTTCCGGACCGGTCGTACTCATCGCTACTTTGTTTTCCAGATGAGTGCCCTGTTACCATACCTACCTACACGTGGACATGACTGTTCAGAACACAAGAACCAGATCAATTCGAACCATCCGCCACGAACGTTATGCTCCCTAAATTCAAAAATAGTTGGATGGCCAATCAATTCTCATCACCTTTTTGCCTCGCAAACCAACTGCTCATTTCGTCTCGTCAAAAATCCAATGTCCAAAAATGTCATCTCATAACGTCGTAAAGTAAAGACATGATAACTACCACGGCATCCTACTCCCAATCTCTGTCGCGGACATCGCGACCCCGTCCTGTATAAGGAGCCCTGACGTGCCTAATCCGCTCTCCGGCATCCCTGCAACTATTCAGCATCACGCACTTGACTGTAAGACACCCTCAATCAGCGGAGGGCCAGGCTCAACATACTTGTTCCATTCCTGCACTCGTTCCATACCTTTGCTGGGACCCCCTAGCCCAGCAAGGACCGACGGCGGGAGGTCATCTTTGACGTGTTCTTTCGTCGCCTGGCCGGACCGGCGTCTCCCGCTTGGAGTACGTGCCGGAATTCCGCCCTCGTAATACGCCGGGTACCGAGGTTGTTGTGGTGATTCGTGGTACGAGTGGTGTCTTGCAGGCGTTGCCATCCTGTCGCGGTCCGACGATCTAGTGCTCCTACTTGTTGTATAGAAGTCATCTTCTGTCAGGTGTCTCTTCATTCCAGGGGGTGGTGGTGGTGGCGGTGGAGCCGCGCTGACGGGAAACCGAGACGAAATCGGGGCAGTAGCAGCGTGGGAAGGGGGTGGTGCAGCCATCATAGGAGGAGCCGCCATGGTAGAGTAGCCGGGGCCTTGTCTAGTGTCTGCATCAAATCTGCTTGCAAGCTTCCGCTTTTCGAGCGACGGTGTCATCGTTCTACGCCTGCTGGCCGAGCGGATCGCGTCTCTCTCAAACGAAGGGGCGTGGCGCATGTCGGGAGAAGCATCTCGGTGTCGTGATGAAGTTCGCTGCCTCTCCAATGATCGGGGCCGGAACTGACCTCCAAGCTCGGGAGGTACATCTGCCCACCTATCGGATGGATAGGCATGCCTAGGAAGTGATGGAGCCCGGAGCTTCTCCTTTTCAAGTGATGCATGGCGTGACATTCGAGGTCGCAACCTTTCCGGTGAAGGGGAACGCCGTCTGTCAGAGTCATGTGGGATGATAGCGTCCGTCCAGGCGTTAGTTGTTGGTCTTTCAAACACCGAGTGGGCAGGCGGCGGCGCCGTATGTCGGTGAACTAGAGGCGGCGGCACAGCCATTTCAGGTCGACGGACATAGTTTACGGGTTTCAAAGGACGATCTCTGTCATCCCTTCCTCTGCGATAGTCGTCGTCCACTTCTCGCTCGTCATACTCTTCGAATTCCCCGGGAACATGGAACCTACGGCTGAGAGGATCATCGCTACGTTTTTCTCGCAGACGATCCATCACCGGTCTTTCTTCGTAGCTTTGGGGTCGACTGTGCACCGCAGCCACGGGCCGTGAATGCCCGCCATTTGAACGGTACGTTCGCGGAGACTGTGCGTCAGACTCCAGCTGCATTGCATAGGTAAACGGATTCGATCGAGGGTCAGCTGTAAACAGTGTATCAAGCGGTTCGTTTCCTTCGATATTGAAGAAAGGGCAGTCACACTTTTTCCACCGCAAGCCACAGACCGTGCAGCAACGTGTATTGCATTGGCTATTTGTGAAAATTAGCAATTCAGCTGTCCAATAAGAGTAGAAGGCCGCTGTCTTACCAAGTGGTATAGTTGCGACCGGGTTCTCCAGGCAGAAGCTTTTTTCTACATCGACTGCAATGAGGCATGGCATCTGGTGGACAGTGAAGTGATTTATGCCACCGCCCACTGCAGCCAACACAGACCTCTGTACGGCAGTAGCGACATTCGCCAAACTCCCTCCCATCTCGATCGAGGTGTATATCCTGGTCTCCGATAGGTGTACCGCACTTCGGTTCCGGACAGACCAAGCTACGAGGACGCCCACTCGCAAAGATTGAGGAATGAACAAACTTTCTGTCCCAGTCCTTCTTGAAGATGGGATCAAACAGATCGTCCACGAGCTGAGGCGAGATATAACGCTTGCAGCACATTGGAGGTTTCCCTACATGATCATCCATGAATGACAAGAAGCCTTGTTCGAGGCACAGACTGCACCAACGATGATCGCAGTCCGGCAGCTTGTGAGCTACTTCTCCTGATTGACCACCGCATTGTTTGCAGGAACCACTGTGCAACAAGTTAGAGACTGTACTTATTGGAAAGAAACGGAAAAAAAAAAAAAAAAAAAAAAAAAAAAAAAAAAAAAAAAAAAAAAAAAAAAAAGACAAAGGGTCGAAAACTGAAACTAACGCTTTGCCAAAGCTCTCTCGAGCGTATGATTTCGACGAACCTCTCGGAACGTCATGATACGTGTTAGCGCGTCTGAGTCCCGGGTTGGAATATGCTTCACTGGGGTAATATTGATTCCTCGAAGATGAAGGGCCGGGGAAAAACTCGTCAGACTCATAGTCTTGCCTTGAAGGCCTAGCAAGCTTAGTTAATGGCACTCTTAATAGGCAGCTACTCTCAATAGGAAATAAATCTCACCTCTGAAGCCTAGGGTGGGACCGTAGCTCATCCGAAAAGTCCTGTACATAGACATCTTCCGCATCGGATTCTTCATCATCCAAAGCTTGGTGATCAAGGGCTCCTGAGGTTCTAATAAGCGCCCGCCTCATGGAAGGAGCCCGCGAAGGAGCCCGCGAAGCACCTCGTGATGGAGAAGACGGCCTGGACCGTGATTGAGCCCGAGATGGCGAGCCATGCCTTGAGGGTGAACGGCGGCGAGAAGGTGAAGCAGGTCTAGACTGATCACGAGGTCTGGATTGTGCGCGAGATCTCGATGGCGCACGAACGCGGGACGGTGAACGAGGGCGGCTTGCGGGCGCATACCCGTAGGGCCTTGATTCCCCTACCTCCGGCGTAGGTAGCTTGCGGCTCGGACGCTCGTGAACTGAGGGCGGAGCAGGCGGCGTATGAGGCATGTTATGGCGAACAAGCTTTTCGTCACCAGAGTGATCGGTGAGCTGAGTTTCTCTATCGGATGACGACCTTGGAGACCATCTCGAGTCTGGCATAGAACGCTGTCGATTTGTTGATGGACTTCTATTACGCGGTGCGTCGTAGCGACTTCTGGACCGTGAGCGGGAATCATAGGCACGGCTCGCCGGCCGCGATCTGTTGTCCATGATAGATCGGGGTACAAAGATCTCTTCTGCGTCTTCGTCGTAGAGAACGGATGGCCGACGGAGTCTTGCTTCTGGAGGAAGAGTGTCGTCGTCACGAAGGTGCATGCCAGCACTGTGAGATACTCGGGGCCGGATAGGGCGCCCTATGTCAATGAAAGATGACGAAGAGCGCGCAGTGGACGATATTTCCTCAACGCTTGGGGCCCTTGTATGGCGAGGATAAGGTCTTGTATGCTCGGAGAAGTCGTCTGAGTCCTGGTGTCTCCCATGAGGCGACGGGGCAGAGGATAGATCGTCTTCGGGTGGCCAATCAACATCAGGAAAGGGCGAAGAGTCTTCTTCTTCTTCTGGCGTTTCTGGGTCCCTGGTGCGTCTTTCGCGCCTTGGGGTGCCCAGTGGCATGGACATGGGCATGTGCTTAGGCATAGACATGCTGGGGCGGGCATGAACGTGATGGAAAGACTCCATCCGCTCCCTTCGGTCCATTCGTCCCTGCATCAGCCTCAGCAAGGCAGCATTCGCCGATATGGACTAGAGACTGTGTGAGAGATGAGGCCTGGGAGGGAGGTCTGGCAGTAGCGGCAATTCGACGGAAAGCTAGACGACGGCCAGATGGTTGAGCTTGGTTGGGTAGCAAGGAGAATGGATGTCGATGGCGTGGATGGGTTTCCGGCTCGACCGAGTACGATTGGGCTCGTCTAAGTCGTGTCCAATGCAGGCTCGTTGCAGGATGGGTGCAGTCGAATGCACGTCTAGTCCGAATCGAGTGAGCACTTGTGCAGCTTCGTGGTGGGCCATACAGGCCGGATGGAATTGAGGCCTGATGTTGACCTAACGAGAATTGCCCCTCGCGCTGGAGGATCGAAAACCACCCCAGCGCTTGTGGTCAGCCCAGATATCGTTCCGAGTACGCAGCATGTATTACACATGGGCATGACAGGGGAGGGGGGGGGGGGGGGGCACACTGGCAACGGGACGGGAACCAGCAGAGCGAGAAACAGGGGGATGATAATCCGACTTGAGGTGACCGACAGGACCAGGGGACGAAGGCAACAAGGACCGCGTTTTTTCTGGGCACCGGAAGACCTCTCAATCTCTTACACCCGACCAAGGGTTTCTCGCGAGAATGATGGAGGAACGGGATTGGGTGACAAGTGCAAGGTTGGCAGCAGAGTAAGACGACGACAAAGGATTCCGGGAGCATGTACATACGTGTTCAGCGAGGACGATGTGGGCAGCACAGGTTCTGCGGAAAGGCTCTGAAACTTCCAAGATCCTGTTCTGTTCCAAGTCTGGCGTCAAAGACGATGTTGCTGCCGTGATGAGTATGTGATGACTGGCAGCCTAGACAGTAGCGTTGCGGCAGAAGAAGGAATAAAGTGGATAGGATAGTCTTTAAAAAGATATCCGATACTGAGTGGAATGCGACTCTCCAATTGACTGTTCACGCCACTCAGAGACAGAGACGCACATGAGCGAGAGGGGGGCCTAGGAGTGCGGACTGCAGTGGAAGGGGGATAAAAGACGACCTGTCTGGCGCCGGGAAGCGACGATGCCATGCGACGCGATGCAAGTGAGAAAATGCGCGGCCCCGGCGGCCTGGAGGTTCTCTCCCTGCCAATCTTGTTTGATGTCTTGTGTCGTTGTTTCCTATCACTTCTCTTCTGTTGCAATGTCGTCTTGTGTTTGACGGGGAGCGACCTACCCACTTGATCAATTCGACCACCCTACTTGCTGCAACGAAAGCCATGGGCAACTTGAATGTCGAGAAAACAAGAATCCCGAGACGAACGTCCGCCCTCAGAGAGTCAAAATGGGCCACTAGAAGAAAAGAAACGAGGTCCAAACCAAATCGTCTCACCATGATCACCGTTTCGTCGGCGCACCATATCCCCTCCTCGCCGATACTACCCCTTGCAACCCCTCGCTCGCAGCCCAGCAGCTGACAATCAATGCACGCCCGATGCCTGATTCAGGCCAGAAGAAGGTAGGATCTGGTTATCGTAGCGTCCCAACAACTGATACATATGTACGTGTGTTTTCACAAGTCAGAGTAACGAGTATTCACTTGGGTATAGAGAGTGAAATTTCTGATACCTATGAACTGCGATGATTCAACTGTTCTCAGTGTCGAGATCAACCAAGTTCTGGTCCGACGTGGTGGTGAGACGGAAGCCCAGTCAGACCGTGACGGCCTCCTCATACCGTACGTGTACAGTCGAACCCCCTGAAACTGCATGTAATTCAGACCTGGGATTTCTATGCACTAAGTAGCATCTATGCAGTTTCTAGATTGAAGCTAGGCCCAAATAGGCAGTCAACCAGTGGCCGAGACACTAAAATCCGACCCTATACTATAGATTTTCCCGCTCAAGACCAAGTCTGTAAGTGCATACGCACCAAAAATTGTCCGAGATTCATATGCAGTATGCAGTTATACAGTTGTAGCCGAGAATTAATTCAGACCGCTGATTCTTATGCTCTAACTGGCATATATGCAGTGTCTGGTGGATGCAGTTTCAGGGGGTTCGACTGTAGTGCCCCTTAAGTAGGTACTGCCGTGTGTGTGTGCCGCCGTGCGTGCGCCGTCACAAACAACAGGGAAGTCCCCCGCATTGGCAAAGACAACTGCGCTGCAGCGTTCCACAGCCGAACCACCAAAGCTCGGACCCTCCGTGACGGCTGCGGGACAAACGAGCCATTCACCCCACCGATCTCCATCCCCGCACTCCCTCTCCTCCTATCCATCCTCATTGATGTGACCTCGACTCCCGCTCCGCAACTGGGAGCGGAATGCTGCGGAGCTCCCCGGTTCCGGCACCGGCGGGGCCTCCCGTCGGCCAGTTCCAGTGGAGCTCCCCTTCTTCACTCGACAACCTCAACATCGGAGACATTGGACGAGCACATGGCCGGACCACAAGACGCCGTGATCGCCGAGTTTGCAGTGGCCTTCCTGGCTGACCGGCGTTGAGATTGTAATCCCGCAACCGCGTCTACACAAACGTGGGTTCAAGGTGAAGGCCGGCACGACGTGTTACCAAATCCACAAATCACCGATGACACGACGAGTTTTGGAAAGCCCGACATACGTACCTGCATAAGCGTTGGCTGTCACCTCATGTTTCCCGTCCTTTTCATCGCTTCCCACCCCCACCCCCTTACACGCGGCACTCGGGTCTCGAAGCGACATATTGTCGCGAAAGACCGCTTTATTTAAATGGCTATATATGATTGGGAAGTTGACCTCGGTCTCAACTTCGACCAATGCGAACAATAGACAAATCCCATAAATCATAGCAAAGCCCAAAAAGGGGAAACAAGAAGTGGAAGGGGAAAATAAACGGTTCAAACTGCGGCGGCGCAGAAGATGCAGGTCTACATGCCACTGCACGTTTTACGGCATTTTTCAAGACATACATACGCATACAAGCGCCGTGCAACCACCTATCTCCTTGACTGCCATCGACATCGTCATCCCTTTTCCCTCCCGACCACCTGTATTTCCTCATAATGCGAAACGTACTGCAAAGCACCCACTAGTATCCTTTCATATATCGTGGTAGTAAGGGAAAAGAGGCCTGGGAGGAGAGACGGTAGGGTGCCTTTGCTCAAGATTCAGTTGGATGCTGTCTTCTGGCTCAGCAATATCTTTTATCTTTTCTTCGAAGGACATGACACGGAAACCCGATAACTGTAGAAGGTAGAGAAAGGGTAGAGGATAGCGCTCTGATGGACGCTCGTCAAATAACAGGGCGAGAACCACTTCTCACAAGCGTACACTTTGGTGTCCGAAATCCTGGGTTCCGAACTCCGAGCAGAACCGATCGTCACCAAATGGCTGTCAATGAGATGCAATAGTTGGCATGTGCACTTTGGGGTAGATTGAGGCCTGCGGCTGAACATGTTACTGATGATATTTGGAGCAACTGGAACAGAGGTACTCGTAAACCCATTCAACACCTCCTCCATGTGTCCAGCAAGGACACTCCCATTTTTCGCTGATTTAGCCTTCTTTTGTCTGAGAGATAGGCAACAGATGGTGTATATAAGTGAGTATACCCCTCGCTCCGCCCGCAGCTTTAGCCTACCCGCTCTACTCTTGTCTTTCTTTGGAAATTTTTTTTTAAAAAATTCCAGGCAACTCCCACCACCTACCGCTGGATTTTGTCATAATTTACGTTAACAAGGGGACTGGAGTTACGTAATTCACTTGCCCCGTTCATCTTGTCTCTTCCTGGCACCTGAAACTTTACTTGCTAGCTACCCTTTCGATAGAGGGACCATCGACGGGGCCGAGGACAGAATGGGAAGAGGATAACGCGCCTATGTAAGCCTCCAACAGTTCAGGTGTATGTGGAAACACTAAAAGGTTTTTCGTCAAGACTTGAAGGGTTGGCAAAAAAAGAATAGCAAAGGATTGGGTGTTGTGAAGTGTAGAAGGTATCGTATTTGTAGATATACAGAGAAGAAAAGGTGAGAGACAACCAGCCATCCCAACGAGGAGAGAGAAATAACAGAGAATCATATTATGGTACAGCTTCAACGTCCTCATTGAATTTGCATATGTTTTGGTCCCGATTGCCGATGCCATCCAACACCAAAAGTCAGCCATAAGCAAGAAGTGCTTCCAGAGAAACGACATGACAAGGAAAAACTTTGGGCCTTTCATCTCATCTTTGTTACATGACACTGAAAACCTTGAATGAATGCCATGAAATGTTTACAGGTGGTTGGTCGTCCACCGAACGTCGAGAACAGAAGGGCTGAAAATAACGTTCACTCTCAAGTTTCCTTCATGTATGTGTAGCAGCCCGTCTGCAAGTGTACAACTTTGGTGGTTGGTAGGTAAAGAAGATTTGCAAGTAATGATGATATGCGAGAGTCGCCCCCCTCTCGCTTCTTCCGGCCCGCCCATCAGGGAAACGACTCAAGGTCAATATTCGATATAATGTACACGCTCTCACAAACAGTCGCTGTCTGAAACAGGGGCAGAGAGGGGCAGAAAAATAATGGAACATTGGAAGAACATCAATAAAAGTCGAGCAAGGGTCAAAGAAGTGGGGTGTTTCCGGATTTTCGGCCCGTCGCATCCGCATCAATGTGCCATCCACAACACAGCCCATCATCAACCACAGGCAGATCGGGCACTGTTCAGATTCTTCTGCATTCAAGGTGTGTTACCCCAGGCCGTATGCTCCGGCTTCCACAGACCTTGTTGCAAGGTGTTCTGCTTGGCGCTCCGTTGCTGGTCATCCACGTTTCTGGGAAGAGGCAAAGGGTGCTCGGCCTGTGCAAAGTCGTGAAGAACAAAAGAATGGGATTGTCGGTCGGCCGCTGGTCGGGGTTTCCAGTCAAGATACCACGTTGTAGCCAGCTACAACAGGAGTGTAAGAGATAGAAGTAGGTCAAATGCTCACAAAAACCGGCGTGCCCATAGTCAGAGCCATGGTTTATCAGGCAAGACTGGTCGATGATCAACATTGGTATGATCTTCAGACCATTCGGTGAGCGCCCTTCCGAAGGCGGGGAGGCGGGCAGATGGTGTGAATGCAGTCCGGACACTTACTGGGCTTGGTTGTGTATGAGCGAGCCCGGTTTATCTTTCACGTCTGCTGGCAGTACAGATCAAGCGAATGGCTGTTTTCGTCGCAAGAATAGATTTGATAGTCAATGCAGCCAACGACTCGGACATCGACCGTTTCAGACCTGGAAAAAATACATTTTGTACTGGTGTTGCATCCGTGGAGGACCAGATGCACCTGTAGCTTGTTTCGTGCCATGACAGAATACCATAGGTTCAACTGCTGGTGGTTTGACTTTTAGGTGACTGAAAGGTTTGGATGTGGCGAGTTTGATGGGACCGTTTGACCTTTTGTGTCTATGGCATCGGGTGTAGTAAAGCGGTTCCTCAACCACTCAGAAACGTTCGTCGCCTAACCTCCGCTTCCTTGATAATTTCCGCCGAGAGGCTCAGACTGGGTGAGAGTACGGAATAACGCTCGATTTCCATGACGACATCGTTGATGATCTGGTCGATAACGTCGCGGTGTGAGACCAAGCTGACCAGAATACTGTTAAGTGACGGTGACATAGTGGCACCCATAATCAGAAGTGTCTGCGATACAATCGAGAGTGCCCCTTGCCAAAGGTACGGCATGTGTCCGGCGTGACTGCGGCCTTTTGTTAGATTGAGACGTAATAAAAAGGAAAAGACAGCCAATAAAAACCCGAATATGAAGGGGCGGAGACTTACTGTGCACTGATATGCTCCAATTGTCTGATTGAAGCCTCCAGACACTTTGTGCACGCGTCACGCACTGAGGGGTCCAGTATTGCCTGTTCATTGTCGAGGACCGCGAGAATGTATGGCCGGTAAATAATAGTCCGGCAAGCAAAGAAGCGCAACCGCAACACCGTCTGGACAGGATCTGGGAGCATTGTCCGAGTAAACGGAAACTGCAGCGGTAGAGGTAGACTCTCGTACCACTGCGTTAGTTGGAAATCCAACTCGGTCACGATGGGTTCGAGACTCGTTGTAGAGGCCAGGGAGTCCTTGGAGTAAATGAGCTGGCTGACGCGGTTGAGTAGTCGCCGAAGTGCTATCTCGGCGAGGAAATACCACAAATCATCGCGACCAACTGCCTCTTGCTCATCCCCCTCGAAGCCACATGGTAGACCAACATTTTCTTCAAATGCAACAACACCAGAATGCGGAAGGTCCAGCTCGGCGAGGAGGTCGCTCTCGAACAGCAGAGCATTCCAATAAATCCTTTCACTCAGTTCCCTTTGGTCGACAGGCACCCGGTTCGGCGTCATAAGGAGGAGCTGCAACTTGGTACTTGTTGTGCAGAGAAGGTTCCATGCTTCCAGGGGTCGGACGAGGTAGAACAGGTAAGCGGCAGCTAAAAGGTGGCATTGCGCGGCGAGAACGCTGTTGGAGGTCATCATACCCGGTAGCAAGGCCCATGCGGCTGTGAAATATTGGAGGCCCGGGGGATCCTCATGTGGCACGATCCTGGATATGCTCCCCCGTAAACTTGCCTGACCGAGAGCCAAGACGAGAAGCACAATACAACTTTCTGGTCCTTCCCTGAAACCGTTCGAGAGGGCGATACGATAGTGGCTCCTCCATGTATAAGGGTTGACACAGGCGTACCAAACGTTGACACGATCAAAATAGGCTTCGATGTAGGCGGAAGTGTTGGAGAGGTCCACACAAGGGGTCTTTGTGAGCGAGTGGAGTGGCTCCCTGGCCATTTCGAGTTGGAGGAGAATTTGTGGGTCGTAAGGTCGTGAGACGAGATCCCGAATCATGGGCCATTGCAACAAATGAAGGGCGGCATTGGTGTGGACCTTGGGCATTGTTGACAAGCTGTTGGTAGCGGTGGCAGACCATGTGCCCAAGCCTCCGCTGGGGATCACCGAGACAAAGCCGGCGGCGTCGGGATTTTGCATCATCAGGTTGTCACCACTCAACCCTGTCCCGTTGCTCATCCCCGGGGAGTTATGGGATAATCCTAGGCCATTGGTATGACCGGTTAGGCCCATGTTTAATTGCAGCAGACTTTCTATCCTGTTGAGGCGTTCGAGGATGAGCTTGTCGCCGGCATCCAGCTTGATACCAGGCTCGCGATATATGCACTCGGCACCCAACTCTGTGCACAGCTTGCATTTTGGTTTTGTGCCGTCACACCGCGACTTCCTCGAGCGGCATACCTCGCACTGTTCAACGAAATGTCAGCGTGTAGATTCACCACACCAGATTTTTCCACTGCGCCAGAGCCCAAACATACCGCAATGGTTGCCCTTCTTCTAGGGTAGTCGACACCAGCATCCGTATTTCTTCTTTTCAGCGGATTGGTGCTCTCCTCACTAGGAGCCTTTTGAAAGCCATTAGAGACATTGACATTGTCAGGCCGGTTTTCGGACGACTGCGAGAGATTTCGGGCTTTCTGGGCCGATCCAAGAATACCTTCCCGGCTGAAGTTGGGAGCACGGGCAGACTTGAGAGTGGAGGGTGACTTGACGGTGTTGACCCCATTGGTAGTGGGTGCAATTTGGGGCGAGGGTATTTCGATTGTGAAGTCCCGATTCGGCAGAGGGTATTGCCTTACAGCGTTGGGAGCAGCCTGCGCGGCCATGGTCATGCTGCCCACTACCGAAGCGGGAGAGTCGCTGTTGGAAGACGGCGACATGTCGTATGCAAGCGGTCAGGGTCTGCTTGGTAGTCGACCGAAATGGACAGAAGACAGTGATGTAATGTCGACCCTTTGTTTGCCCACAACACCTCAACCAGCCCGAGCCACGACCACTTCAGCATGAACCAGAACACGCTTGAATCGTTGTGTCGTTGGCGATAGGTTAAGACGCGACTGTCTGTCAAACTAGAGGCCCTCAGACATCCACCGTGTGTTTCGATTACCGAAAATGAGGATTGTCGTGTATTAGTGGGCCGTCTCGTGACTGATACCTAGTCGGTTTGTTCGTTTAGTAGAATGCGAATAGAGGCGCTGTCATGTTCGCAGCAGGGGTGGTGCGGATGTAAGGAGGGTTGGGGGAAGGGTGAGGAAAGAAGTTATCCAAAGCTGTGGGAAAGGTCGGATTCATATCTCGTCGTACGGGACGAGTTTCGCTTGCAGATATGAATGGTAAGCAGCAAGTCCATACAACCAAGGTCGAGGTACCCGCGGATCTACTTGGTGACGAGACTGAGCTTCCCTTCCATGGGTGTCTCTCTTTGCTCTCTGCAGCGCGGACCCCAGACCCCCGGTGGCTTTGAGTCAAGCCAAGCCGGGCAACTAACTGAGCACCCTATAGGCAGAGAGAGATGGAACGGACCCCTTGACGGACCCTAGACGACCCTGTCTGAGCCGGAGCCTTTACTGGCCTAGTGTGGCGGGAATTGGCTACCACCAACCGCAGCCAACCCCCGAGAGCCTTGAAGCCTCGGTAGGTACTACAAGTGTATGTGCTGCGAGGAAGGACGGAAATTGTACGGTGAGACGGGTGGAGGAGGCGAGCAGGTAGGCAGAGGAGGTAGGGGAGTAGATAAAACCAAGGAGTAGAAGCCGGGGGATGGAATGAAAGACAACGAACCTGTGTTGCTGCGTACACTTGAACAACACTGTCATGAACCGAGACTGAGGTTGGAGCAGCTTGGGGTGCACGGCCAAATCCAAAGTTGGGATGAGAGATGGAGATGAAGTTGAGATTGAAGCTTGGAGATCGCGATGGATTGAATCATGCCTTGACCTAGTCAGTGTCTGGGGGATCGGACGGTGGAGGTAAGGAGGTGGAGACTGGCTGATGGTGCCGACGGGAGGAAGGTGGAGGAAGGGCGGGGGAGGACTGGATTACTGGAGTCACTTCGGGCTGGCGATGGACGGGACGGACTCGGGGCTTGCGAATATTACGGTACTGCGTATTACACTCGGAGTGTACGGTATACAATAGCCAAGAACTGAAGAGTTGTGTGGAATACGCTTAAAACTCGCTCGACTGTGCCTCCAAGGTGATCAAAGCAGACACAATCGCCGGGTTTTGTTGTTCAACCTTGATTGCGAGATCAGTGTGCTTGTCGTAGTTTTGTGCCTAGCCAACCATTGTATGTGCATGCTTTGGTTGTGTCAGTCCAGATTACCTCTGTTCAAATTGCTTAGTTGGACCTGAAATTGGCACGAGGTTTTGTATCAGTACTTGTCGTATTACACTACTACCTATGCAGTACACTACACTACAGACATCTGAGACCGGATCGACCCGACTTGGAGAATTCGCGTCATTCCAAATTCCCATCCACAAGTGGATACTGATGGACATGATGATTCTGTAGTCATACGTCATTGTACTCCATCTGACTGATGATGGAAGCAGCCTGCTATAGTGTACACTGCGGTAATTCTTGAGGCGG